GGAGACATTGGAGAAAATCCAGAGAGGAGCAACAAAAATGATTAAAGGTCGAGAAAACACGAAACATGAGGGAAGACTGAAAGAACTGGGTTTATTTAATCTAGAAAAGAAAAGACTGAGTGGGGACAAGATTGATAACAAATTTTCAAGTACCTAAAAGGTTGTTAGGAGGAGAGAGAAAAAATATTTTCCTCGACCTCTGTTGATAGGACAAGAAGCAATGGGCTTAACTTGCAGCAAGGGAAGTGTAAGTTGGACATTAGGGAAAACTTCCCGTCAGAGTCGTTAAGCACTGGAATAAATTGCCTAGGGAGGTTGTGAAATCTCCACCATTCGAGATATTTAAGAGCAGGTTAGACAAACACCTCTCAGGTATGGTTTACAATAAGGACGAATGCAAAGTGCTCCACTTAGGAAGGAACAATCAGTTTCACACATGCAGAATGGGACGTGACTGTCTAGAAAGGAGTACTGCAGAAAGGGATCTAGGGGTCATAGTGGACCACAATTTAAATACGAATCAATAATATGAAACTGTTGGAAAAAAAGCAAACATGATTCTGGGATACATTAACAGGAGTGTTGTAAGCAAGACAAGAAGTAATTATTCCCCTCTGCTTTGTGCTGATTAGGCTTCAACTGGAGTAGTGTGTCCAGTTCTGGGGGCACATTTCAGGAAAGATGGAGACATTGGAGAAAATCCAGAGAGGAGCAACAAAAATGATTAAAGGTCGAGAAAACACGAAACATGAGGGAAGACTGAAAGAACTGGGTTTATTTAATCTAGAAAAGAAAAGACTGAGTGGGGACAAGATTGATAACAAATTTTCAAGTACCTAAAAGGTTGTTAGGAGGAGAGAGAAAAAATATTTTCCTCGACCTCTGTTGATAGGACAAGAAGCAATGGGCTTAACTTGCAGCAAGGGAAGTGTAAGTTGGACATTAGGGAAAACTTCCCGTCAGAGTCGTTAAGCACTGGAATAAATTGCCTAGGGAGGTTGTGAAATCTCCACCATTCGAGATATTTAAGAGCAGGTTAGACAAACACCTCTCAGGTATGGTTTAAAGATGGTACTTGGTCCTGCCATGAGGGCAGAGGATTGGACTCGATGACCTCTCAAGGTTCCTTCCAGTTCTAGGATTCAATGAATCAGCTCCCCACAATGGGGATGCTGGTGTGAGGACCACCATCCTAGTTGACACCAGGGATAGCCAGAACTCTGCAGCATGAGCTAGAGAGAGCCAGGCCCTAGCTGGAACTTTAATAGACTCCAGAAGATCAGGCCCAGAGGAGGACATGTAACACACTGATCAACGAGTCACACTCAGATGGGAGGCTCGGGTTCTAGCCCATGGTGTTTCTCTTTCTACAATGTAGGGGCCAAATCCTACAGTCCGTGCCCTGGTAAGGAACGCCGATTGGCTTGCAATGAATAAGGACTCGGCCAAATTTCAGAGAGAGATTCCAGCCCAGCTCTCCCTGGGAGAGCCATGCCTCTCGAGCATTGGACTGGACACACACTGAATTCTCCATCTTAAAAATAAGTGACAATGTGCTGCTCCAAGATGGCACAAGGTGTGTGCAAACACATGCACAGTCTGAATCATGCAACACACAAGCCATGGGTCCGGAACTCAGCAGATGAGTAACTTCCTCTGGCAACCCAGCCACTGAGTCACAGGTTGAGGAAGCAAGCGGGGGACTAGGGGAAACTCTGAATCTCTCCCCCTTTGGCTGAAGCTCCTCTGCCTCCGGCAATTGGACCAATTGACTGGACAGCGAGAGAGAGAGCCAAGAGTCACATGAGGATTTCTTCATGCAGTTGGCAAGATCAGAGCATATTAGGCAAGCTAGGCTGGAGGATAGTGAGAGTGATATTTCCCATGGGCATGGAGTCAGCTTTACACATGGGGGACACGTGACGAGGGGGAATGGGACGTGCTGAGGGGGTTTGAGCACACCCGGGGTAGTTTGGATCACAGTGGGCAAAGCTGTGGAATGGGTTGGACACAATGGGGAAAGAAGGAACCGAGAGAGAAAGAGGGTGGGGGAAAAAGGATGGAAAATGAATGCAGGGATGCCCCTATGTCAAATGGGTGGCTTGATTGTCAGGCTGGAAGATCAAAGGCCTGGACTTGTACCCAGGAATCATATTAAACTGGAGACAACCAGACACCGCAGTCCACAACAAAAGAGGAGAGAAGCTGCAGAACATTGTAATGTTTCTGTCTGGCAGGGCAGACGCACATCATAAACAATTCCTCATTCATGCAACACAGATGTTACAACACCCGGGCTGGAACACCAGGAAGACACGAGGTGGGGGCAGGGGAGGGCTGCTGTTAGCGCGGACATTGGCTCCTGGGTTTCTTCAGTTAAGTAAATCATCTTGTTTCCAAGTCCTTTTGAGGGGATTACACTGGACTGGGCTCCACGGGGGCCTGTCACGTTGTTGGCTGGAGAACAGCTGGAATAGGACTCACAGGCGGACTGAGCTCTGTCTGACACTAACAGTATGTTCTTGGGTAGCCGACACCCTAGATGTTCATGTCTGAGTTCTGCCTGACCTGGGGAGTACATCATGTACCATGCCTGGCTAATTATACATGCTTTTGGCAGCTGAGCCGTGTGTCACAGGCCCTATACTGCTAATAGCCCTTTAGTTCATGCTCTATGCTTTGGAGATCTGGATGCAGTCCTTGCTGTCACCATAAAGCACCATGATGTTCACAATGTTGCACACTGCCAGTTGTGAGGTCACGAGTGGCCATGGATTTATCTTATATTATTTCATACACTAAGGGTACGTCTACACTACATGGCTCTGTCGACGGAGCCATGTAGATTTGTTTATTGGGCAAAGGGAAATGAAGCGGTGATTATTTAAATTCGCTGAGCTGACAAACAGCTGATCAGCTGTTTGTCAGCTCAGCGCGCTAGTCTGAACGCTCCCCTGCCGACATCAAAGCCCTTTGTCGGCAGCCCCAGTAAACCTCATCCCACGAGGTTTAAATCGCCGCTTCATTTCCCTTTGCCTATAACCCTAATCTACATGGCTTCGTCGACGGAGCCATGTAGTCTAGACACCGCCTAAGATGGGCCCGATTCTGCCTCTCTCTCTGAGGAAAGTGGCTACACTGCAGTCAATGGGACAACTTGAGGAGAAAAATACTTCTCAGTGTGAGTAAAGCCAGCACGGGGGCTCGCAGACCGTGTACAGTGATCCCTCCCCTGCAGCACAGGCTGGGGCTGAGCGTGGCAGCTGAGTGACCGGAGTGCATGGGCGACAGCCAAGAACAATGCTGTGTCCCATGCGAATGGCGGGAGGAATCTCCAGACACCAGATGTAGTCACCTCCCAGGCTGGCCTTTGGTCTGGATACCGGGGTGCTCGTGTGAAGCTGTGGGCCAGCACATTTTCCCCAGTGACAGAGAAACCCAGATGTGTCCCTGGAGGAGCAGCTCACAGCAGGGAATCTCTGCCATTTGCAATTCATTTGAAGTTGGCAGCCTGTGCAGACCTGTGTTCCAGTGACAGCTATGCAGCACTCCTGCATGTGTGTCTGCTCGCTGTCCCTTAGTCCTGCCCTCAGGGGATGTAGTACCAGACCCATTCAAGTGCCTAGTGCAGGGCTACTCAACATGCGGCCCATCACCCATTTGTTTGAGGCCTGCAGTGCGGTTTGGGCTTACATGGGGCTCAACATGAGGCCTGCGGGTGGGATCCTTTGAACATGGCCTCCACTGGGAACATGCTCCACAATGGCAGGGCATCTCCCAGGCAGGATGAGCATTGAAAGACAAAAGGGGATGGGATGGCTGGAACAGACGGGTACAGGGTGTCGGTGTTTCTAGCCCCCAGGGAGGAGGTGCCAGGAGTGCCAGAGCATTGTGTGAAAGAAGCTATTTGCATATATATTTGCATATATATGCAACCACACTTAAGTTGCGGCCCTTGGCATGAGCTGAGTATCATTGTGGCTTCCGGGGCTTCCCAGGTTTGATAGTCCTGGCCTAGTGGGGAATCATTACTGCCTGGGACAGACCCCCATATAACCCACCCTCCTTGGGTGGCCAGTGGGGTTTGAACCCTCAGACCCACAGGGCTGAAGGACTGGGGCGCTACAGCAATCTTTTATGTGGGCCAGCCACCAGAGGCAGACAACTCCCAACCACACTCTCCTAATGTGGGTTCTACATGAACATGTCTCCCCCAGGAGCTCTGGGCTAGAGACTACAACACCCGATACATGGGTGTGAAATTTCACTGGTTACAGGTAGCACATTTTGCATACAAAACAGTGTAATAGCGACGTTACATTGCAACTCTTTATCATGATGCATGTCATGTACATTCCATCTCCAATTGGCTTCTTCTCCCCACTTACCCTATCTCCTTCCTCTTCGAGATCCATCTTCTCCTCACTGATAAACCCTTTGTTCATGTCCAACCCTTTGTCCAACTTACAACTCCTTACAACTTATGCCTTCTCAGGCCTCTTACTTCCAGTCTGCCCCCAACGTCCTGCTAAGGTCATTTTTGTCTCCCCAAGATCTGCTCTCACCATCTTCCCTCCTTCAGTCCTTCCATTGGCTTCCTGCCTCACCCAGGCCTAACAACGTTTCTGCGGACACTTCTGCTTTTCCTTCCCTCTTCCCTACATACCTTCATAAAATGCCGGGTGCATCCGAGGTGGGAGATGCATGCATTGTTATTATTACAATGAGGCAGTTATCCCTGTCTCTGAAGTGACAGTGTTATGAAATCAACTCCCTATAATTTACACGGCCATAAACCTGAGATGCTGGGTACTGTAACTTCACGTGTAATTCCCAACCTTCTTTGAGGATTATGCAGATTTATTATCTATTTACAGCGTAACTGCATAGTAATTATATGGATAAATGGCTGCTGTGAAATGAACTGATGCCATGAAGGAGAGAAAGGAGAGGGTGTGATGCTGAAAGCAAATCACCACCAAAGAGTAGGGGATCCAAACCTGTGTGGGGGTCGCAGCTGCCGTGCTGGTTACAAGTACAGGGGACGCAGCTGGTGAAGGGCCCGCCAAGTGGTGTGGCTCTCTTGAAGCCTGGAGCGCAGGATTCACAGAACTGCCCGATGTACCCCGGAGGGCAGACGCACTCCTCCACCCACTGAGCAGGCTGGGAATGACCTGGGCGAGCAGAGGTGAGTTGGACCTCCCCCAGGGAGACTCTGTCTGCGGAAGGACAAAATAGGAGTTACGCCAGGCGAATGGAACCCAGGCAGAGACAACGAACCCATCAGTCCAGGCTCTCTGGCACGGCAGCTGGCATCTCTTCCAGCATGGGCTGTCAGAAGGGATCCCCGGTCTACAGGCTTCCATTTAAAGGCCTCCAAGCATTTTGCAAACTACTGTCGGGGCCAGATTTCCATCCGTGACTAGTGACTCTGGGTGCCTGATTTGAGACGTCTCGGACGGGCCCGTCTTTCAGAAAGTGCCGAGCACCTGCCCTCAGAAAACCCGGCCTCTTTAACGTGTCTCAGTTGTGGCAGCCAAACAAAGGAAGGATTGCAAGTCACAAGGCACTTTGGAAAATCTTGGTCTTAGCAATGAAGCCTCATAACACCCCAGCAAGTAAAATCCAGCGCGATCAGGGCCCCCATCACTGAAATGAAGGCACCGGTGGGGTGGAACCAGTGGGTCCCTCGGGCAAGGTGGGGGAGGGGGCTAGCTCCGCCCTCCTGAAAGGGGTGGGGCCAAGGGCAGCCAACCCTCAGTGCCCCTCCTCCCCGCCGTTAGTGTTGCCAGGCGAGTGCAGCGCACCAGCAGCAATTTAAAGGGCTCAAGGCTCCTGAAACAATTGCCCCCTTCCCCCCAGCAGGCCTGGGTGGAACACAGCTGTTGCTTAGCAACTCACAGCAAGGCTGCCCAAGGGTTTAGGACAGGACGCAACGACACCATGCTGGTTTTAAACCTGCAAAGGAAATTTTGGGAGGCAGGACCTTGCTATTCCAGTTGGAATGCGGCCATGACCGTGCCTGCTACAAAGAGCATCAGAAGGGACTGTTAGGTCCTCCAGCCTGACCTGGAGCCGTGGGGACACTCTGCCACAGAACTGCTTTACGCCTCACATGGAAACAGTGGGGCACTGCGTGGCTGGACGTGCCCTCGGAGCAGGGCACTGCTTGCTGAATGCCTGAGACCGTGAGCTCTCTTTCTTGCGAAGGTCTCCCCTCTGCGTAACCACCTAGCCCAGCCCTACGTGGGGTCAGATCACAGCCCATGCTGAGCGCAGAACTGATCCCAAGGGTGCTGCTTGCCTTCCTAAACACAGAGGGAGGCTCCATCTGTGGACTCAGGGGCACAGGTGGAGAGGAGCAGGACCCTGAACCCTAAGATGTTGGCTAGAGAGCACCCAGCAGCCTTCAGGATGGTGGTAGAGGAAACCAGTGCAGCCTCCATCTGCTGACCATGATTATTAATCATTTATCTTGCAGTAGAGCCCACAGGTCCCACTTAGGATCTGGGCCCCACTGTGCCAGGCCTGGGAGTCACACAGATCCTGCCCTGGAGAGCTTACAAGCTCAGTCTTCCTCCCTCCCCTTGGGCCTTTGATCTCCCTGTTTCACCTCAGGGCTACCCGGTACAGCGCCTGGTCCCAGAGCTCTCCTCCGTTCTTAGCAAGAGGAAGCCCCCAGCCGGAGGCAGCGGTTCTGGTGCCGCCAGGAATCACTTACGAGGGGCGTGGCTGCTGCCAGCCTGGATCCTGAGGGCAGTCAGTGTGGAGAGCAGAAGCTGGAAGCTGAAGGGGCCGCATCTCCTCCTCCGCCTCGTGGAGCCTGGTGGAAACCAGCCCAGAAAGGAACAGTGCGGCCTTGCTCCTTTGCAGAGTGGCCACACTAAAGCCAACGTGGCCATCTGGGCCCGAGGAAGCAGGCAGGGGAAGGGGCATCAACAGGGCCTGGTGGGTTTGGATGAGGAAACCCTACTCTGTGCATTCCCAGGCCATGGACGCATCTCCTCCTCCGCCTCGTGGAGCCTGGTGGAAACCAGCCCAGAAAGGAACAGTGCGGCCTTGCTCCTTTGCAGAGTGGCCACACTAAAGCCAACGTGGCCATCTGGGCCCGAGGAAGCAGGCAGGGGAAGGGGCATCAACAGGGCCTGGTGGGTTTGGATGAGGAAACCCTACTCTGTGCATTCCCAGGCCATGGAGCCAGGCACTCTGGGTAATGGGTGGAGGCGACTCAGTGGGCCTGATTCTGCTACCGCTTATGCTGGTTTAACACTGGGGTCGTTTCACTGAGCTGAGGACACTCAGCCCTGATTCCACCGAGATCAGAACCAGGCCACAGGGATTAGTGCCGCTGAAAAGTCCAGCACGGGGCGCATTAGTACAAGCCTCCCCCACGGTGCCCTGCCAATGGGTGTCAAACCTGCCAGGAGAGACAAGAGGGGAGTTCAGACTCCATGGGCCCGGCCTCTCTGCTGGATTCAGCCAACAGTGGGGCCAGCGGAGGTGGGGAATTCAGCGATGAGACGCACGTCTGTCAGCTCATGAAGTGGACAAGCCTGTACCTGAAGGTGACCTTGTGCTCTCCACAGTGGGGCTGGCTCTCACTGCCGGCTGGGGCGGAGTAGCTCGCAGACACCACGATCCCATCTCCCTCTAAGACCAGCCAGAGGGGGAACGGAGAGGCTCCGCTCCCGTTCCCCTCCGCTCGGAGAAGCAGGGAGAGGAGCTGCCCGTAGCTGAGGCGCTGGTTGTGCAGGAACTTCTCTGGGAGGTGAAAGGAAGAGAGGAGAGTCCATGAGACCTTGGCTGAGCCAAATTGCCCCAGCGCCTGGGTCCAGTCCTGATTAAGCGCTCCGCTAGATCGAATTAAGTTCGAATTAGCAGTTTGTATGTGTAGCGCCTATCAAAGTTAATTCGAACTAACGTCTGTTAGTTCAAATTAACTTTGTAGTGTAGCCATACCCTTATAGTTCTATCCTTCACAGCCTCCTGCGACAAAGAGCTCCCAGGTTGACTATCTGCTTTGTGAAGAAGAACTGTCTGTTATTAGTTTGAAGCCTGCTACCCATTCATTTCATTTGGGGTGTGTCTAGACTACAGGGTTTTGTCGACAAAGGTGGACTTTTGTCGACAAAACTATACTTGCATCCACACTGCCTTTGAGTTATGTCGACATAACGTCGACAAAACTCAGCAGTTTTGTCGACGCATGTAAGCCTCATTCTACGAGGAATAACGCCTTTTGTCGACAGAGTTCTGTCAATAGAAGGCATTATTGCATCTACACTGTCCTTTGTGTCCACACTGTTATGTCGACAAAGCGGCTTGCTTTGTCGACAGAACTGGATGTAGTCTAGACGCTCTATGTCAACATAAGTTTTGTCAACAGATTCTGTCGACAAAACTTATGTCGACGTAAGCCTGTAGTCTAGACATACCCTTGGTGTCCTCTAGTCCTTCTATTATAGGAACTAATGAAGAACTTTTCTTTATGCACCCTCTCCACACCACTCATGCTTTTATAGACCTCTATCCTATCCCCCCTCAGTCTCCTCTCTTCTAAGCTGAAAAGTCCCAGTCTCTTTAGCCTCTCTTCATATGGGACCTGTTCCAAACCCCTGATCATTTTAGTTGCCCTTTTCTGAACCCTTTCCAAGGCCAAAATATCTTTTCTGGGATTAGGAGATCACAACTGTACATAGTACTGAAGATATGGCATACCACAGTTTGATACTTCCCCTCCTCCTTCTTCCCTTGGCTTCCCCCTTCCAGCTCCCTTCCCCCAGGTTTCCCCCTCCCCTCTTCCACCCTCTCTCTTCCCCTTTCCCACCTCCTTTTCCCAGTCTCCCCCGAGGTTAATCCCCTCCTCCCCCAGTTTTGATAAATAAAGAGAGTTTCTATTTTTGAACACACGTGTCCCTTATTTTGTGCATCAGGAAGGGGGGCTAGGGAGGGGTAAGTGGAAGGAGGTTAGGGAGGAATACCCGGATGGCAGCCTGTGGCAAGTGCAGCCGGGCTGATGGCCGAGTGCTGTGATGTGCCGAGTGTGGGCACTCAGGGCACTCCAAGCCAGGACTGCTTTACTGTCCATCATCGAGGTAGACAAGCAAGCGGGGAACCCTGAGAACTGTCTGTCTGGGGTGGGGGTCGGGTCCCTTTAAGCACAGCCCTCGGCTAGCCTGAGACAACAGCTCCACGCTCTAAGTCCTAACCTGATGCCCTGCCAGCGCTGCTTCCGGCCAGCCTTAACTTTGGTTCAGGGTCCACTCAATGTGAACATGCTAGTTCAAATTAGCAAAATGCTAATTCCAACTAGTTTTTAGGTCTAGATGCACTAGTTCGAATTAGCTTAGTTCGAATTAACTAATTCAAATTAAGTTAGTTTGAATTAGTGCTGTAGTGTAGCCATACCCTGAGTCTATCACCCTGTTCACTAGAATCCACTCCCTCCCTTACATCCAAAGGAACCACTTCATCCACCGCTGAAATGCAGCCACCTCTGGGGTAGAGCACAGCAGCTGGTACATTGTTTCAGCTGTGGATTCTTCAGCAACAAACAGCGGAGGTGTTACTGCAGCCACACAGCAACCACAGTTACAATGCAGCAGTGCAGCCAGGCATTTCCATGGTCAGTACCTGGTGCTATGAAACTGGCTGGGTCCTTGTTGTCCTGCTCTAGATAGATCTCCCCATCGGCCCAATGCAGCGGGACTTCCTTGCCACTTGGAGCTTCGGCTCTCCAGCCCTCAGGCCCTTGGCAACAAACGCACACAATCAGAGCATGATGTGAGGCATGATGGGAATGTACACTGGATTTGAGTGGGTAAAAAAAACCCTGTAGAATAGTCAGATGTTTGGTCTGGGCTTAAGCATCACCATGACAGCACATTTGGAAATCTAGCTCTTATTTAGATTTCATGGGAGCTGCTTCTCGGGAATGCCTTGTGCAAATGACCCCCAAACTTGACCATCAAGACCACCCAGCATCCCTCTGGGGCACATCAAGGTATAGGACAATGCGAGAAAGCACGCCGATTTTAGAGCACTAAGAATCATCCACTTCGAACAGAAAAGCACTGCTCGACACGAACTATACAAGAGCGAATGGCTAAGTGGGAGCCGAGCTCTTGAAAATCTGGCCCCAAACGAGCAATCACAAACTGGCCAGATTTCCTACCATAGAAAAATACATGGGCTAAAGCCTGGCTCCATTTCAAATTTAAGAAACATGTTAAATGAATGTGACAATTGGTAACGTATCTTTAATACAATCAAGATAAGTTTTCATGGGATGTTCTTTCATACCGTCTGGCAACCGTGCACAAGCCAGGATACTGTCATGGGCACGATGGCTGACTACCCACATGGGAATTTTTTTTCCAGTGGGGCAGGAGCCCACCCCCAATGTGATGCTATATGGTCATGTTATGTATGTTTCTTGTGATGCTCAGCAGAGGGCAGGATTTCCTCAGACATGCTGCACAGAGCTGGGATTCAGCATTCGAGGACATATCCCTGGCTGCAGGCCCAGTGTAGATAATGTCCTGTTTTCATGGACTGAGCAGTACCTTCCTCCGTCAAAGCTAGGGTCATGCAGAGGCCTTTCCCCAGTGGAAATAACCTATCCTGTGCATAGTGGCTAGGCCAAGGCTGTGAGGAGGAGGAAGTTCATATGAGGCTTTGTAAATGTCCTCTGGACCCTGCATGCTCACTTTCCAAAGTCTGAGTGGAATCTTGGAGCCAGCTGTTTATCCCTTGTCACTTACTGCATTTGAGAGGCAGAGGATGAGTGAACCCTGGGGGAGCCAGGGCAAACTTATCACAATCATCCCCTCCCCAAGCCAACTGAGCTTCTTCATCGGATGAGTGAACCCTGGGGGAGCCAGGGCAAACTTATCACATAATTATCCCCTCCCCAAGCCAACTGAGCTTTTTCATTAGACTCTCTCCCAATATTCCCTCTAATCTTTTCCACCCATGCGCAGAATAAATTTTTACATTCACCAAGGCATGTGCGAATATGCACCACTAGAACACAAAAAATTAGCCGTGGGTGCTCTGCTGATCAACTGGGCAGCATTTAGATCTTTTCTGAGCACAAGTACACAGCTTGCAGAGAACACTGCTGTCTATCCCATGGTTTTTTGGGGGAAAGGCCATTCAAACCTTTCAAAGCAAACCCCTGCCCCTGACCACTGCAGGATGATTACAGCTTTCAGTAGCATTGTCTGCCCAAACCATTTTAAAGACTACAGGCAGTCCCCGAGTTACGTGGATCCGACTTATGTCGGATCCGCAGTTACGAATGGGGTTTTTCTCGCCCCGGAGGACGGGAGCAGTGGGATGAGAAAAGCTGCTCCGCGTCTCCCTGGTCTGCTGGGGGGGCTCCCCCCTCCAGCAGACCAGGGAGACGCAGAGCAAAGCCACGGAGGACCTGGGCGGCGGGACCATGGTGCGTCTCGGTCCCCCGCCCGTGTCTCCCTGGTCTGCTGGGGGGGGCACAGCTAGTACGCCCCCCCCCCCCCAC